ATGGGGGTGGGGGGGTGGGGTCGGATGGGTAATTCAAGTAAGGTAGAACTGGAAGCCAAATGGGAGGTAAGCACTTCGACTTTTTCAATCAGGTCGGACAATAATTCACCAGATGGTTTACCAGAAGTAACGGGAGACTATCTAGTCAAGTGACCAGAACCTCCGATCTGCAGAAGGAGCGGTTGCTAAGTGTGCTGCTTTGCTCTCCTTAGCCTTCTGTATGATGATTGTACAGTTGTTGCGTGCTAACAAGAACAACCGGAGGGCTCCGAGGAGGGAGATGAACGACGCCAGCGGCGGAACACTGATTTCTTTTTTACGAAAAACGCAACAACAGGCGTGGTTAAACCATTCTGGAGAAAGAGGCTTGCCGGGTTTGGTGAAATGAGGAATAAATATGTGCATGCCTTGCAAAAGAAATTTAGAAAACTTCGAAGCCGAGATGGAGTTGGCGGCGGAGAAGCAATATTCTTTCCAGGGGTAGGAAGCTAGAAAGTTAGGGAAGCCGCACCAATCACGGGAGCCGTATCGCCAGAATGTGCGCATCGAATTGAGACGAACAGTGGAACACAATTTGGGAGGAGAGCGAAATAAGACAATGGTCCGATGAGCCGAGGGGAGGAATAGCTGCAACATTTGAAAATATTTGTGTATTGGATGTTAGGTCAAGATTGAGGGTATGAGCGTGAACGCGATCATTTGACTTTGCTTGTTCGAGCCTCGCCTACACCCAGTTTGTTTTATTCGTGACCTGATCGCTTACGTTTGAGTGCAGCGTGACGGTGAGAATACTATTCCAGTCGAGACTCATTTCTTTCTTTCATATTCTTTGAATTACGCTCATAGGAACACTTGGCTCTTGTTCTCAAGCTGTTATGATATCATTTTGAGGTTTGTACATATTTTAGTTGTTTATTTGGTAGTTTAATAATGCAGTACCGTAGAATTCTTGCTGGATCAATCGCTTTATTGGTGTTTTGGGCTCCGCGTCACTGGTTGATCTATTCGGGAGTTACAGAAGGCTGACAAATCGCAAAAGGGATTGATATCAGCAGGTTTTCTGTCGAAAACTTGGTGGATGTCCGTTTTTGGCCAACTCTCTTACGATCAGTTGAACTTCTTTGTATTTGCTCTTTTTGTTCCAGACGAATTGGTCTACTCTAATTAGGAGGTTGGTCACCACAGTAGCCATCTTATTTATGGGGTGTTCGGAGGATTAGGACAAATATTTGCTAGTGTGTTGGCTTTCTCTACATGAATATTGACGAGTTACCTAAATCTTTGAAAGTTACTTAGTAGTCTAAAAAGTTTCTTTTTTCATTTTACTTCTTTTTATTGAATATACTAAGATAAGATTTTCAGGAAGGAGGAAGCGGCTAATCAAAGGGCTGCCATTCAATACACAATGGGAAATTCAGGCGGTGGTGATGGGATTCGAAAACATCCCCGGGGTGATAATTTGGTGACGGTCACACCGGGCCACCACCGCCCGGTGGTGGTGTTTTTGTGGAAATGGTTGATGAATTGTGTAAAAGGTTCCACAAAATCCTTTTTGTTCACTTCCAAGCCATCATCTACAAATCTGCACCAGATTCTTGGTTTTGGCGTAGACCTAAGCATTCCCTCTTCAAGAATTTACATGGGAATGTGTGCTACAATGGGCAATATTGGATAACCCATTGCCACTCCATCGGTGTTGTTACTATAATGCTCTGTCATATGCGAAAAGAGTGGATTTCAGACATGGCAGTCGCCTTAATGATGTCTTCTCTATAAGGTGTTTCTATCGCACAAAGAATTACGCCCCAAGGATAAAGTTTCGATATACAAAAGGCTCGATTGACATGTACCAACTTGAGACATCTGTGGCACCGCTGCGACGTCCGGCTGTCTGTGACATATCTAGTGCATGGTGCAGCAGCTCGTTCAGTGTCACTTTATGGTGCAGATGCTTGGCCCTTAAGGGAACAAGATAACGATAGACTGTCGGTGTTGGAACACCGCTGTCCACATCCAAACGAACGAGTTTGATGGGGAAACCAAAGAGAGGCGCTGGGTGGTCGCCCACTGAGGCAGGTGGTTGATCTTCATAGTTTAAGTTGGTTGTGGCTTGCTATGAATGGCCACGGTGCGCGATGTTCTCCGGGACAGGTAGTGGGTGCGATCCAACCTAGCCCTCCCATGAGGGTATGAAAACCCTTACCAAGTTACGTTCTGCTCCCTGAATGGGGCCCTCGAGATTATCGTAACCATTGTTTAGAGACAGTGATATGGCTGTGTTGCAACCAGTGTCGCTCTAGGATATACTCATTAACGTTGCAAGCTTAGTGAATATAAATTCTTTACTTTCACTTTCATTCTGCTCTCAACTTTCCAATCTTACTTCTGCCGGTTTATCCAAATGAGCAACCAAAATCGGCGCATAAAAAATGCATCAATGACGGTTGCAGAAACTGAACTGAAATATGCATCACTGTATAGGGGAAGGGTTGCCATAATGTGTTAAGTTCGACTGGGCACTGTACCAACAGTCACGATTCATTTGGTGTTATTTTTCCTCTCCACCTTATTCCTAGCCGTTCGTCATTCCCTTTGTTGTGAGGTAGTGCTCACGTTTGTGAGCAGTCTTTGGTGCTCGCACAAAGAGGCGATTGGTGGATTTTCACAGCATTTGGGGTAGGTCGAATGATTTATTTATTATCGTAGCCGAAAACATAAGAGCTATTTGAACACGGATCAATAGACTTCATGAAACTATTGGTCGACTGCTACTGATTGGTCCCGTATAATTCTATTTATACCTGGTCCCGAGTGATGTGATAAGTAACTTTCCTCAGTCCGGCACTGCCTAAAGGATTGTAACACCCTAATGCCCTATTAATTTATACGACATAAGTGCTAGTGTTTCGGGTGTATTATCAGCGCATTATAGATCTAATGTTGGACTTACCGCCACCATCAACAACGACAGCCATAACGAAAGAATGAAAATAAGTCAAAGCTCTCATTTTTATGAATATCCGATTCACTTGTTCTGGTTATCCTTTTTACTTTCCCCCATCCTCAAACCCAGATTGGCACGCTCTCTGTAATTAATCACACCTTGAATTATTCCGCCGAGTTAGAATTCCAACCGGCCAGCTGGTTTAACCAGCTGTCGAATCAGGTGGTGGGAAAAATCTTTCAGCGCTCTCCATCCCATTCTGCATCCCTTTTCGGAGGTAGTTTGTTCTCCAGTTTGAGCGAACCTGCCACATTGCGTGTGCTTTTCGGGAATTGGACACGAGGACTTTTCTCAGTGGATCCGCGTTGCTGGGATGAACGAGAGAATAAACCGTCATCTAGCAACAACCTTGTCATAGCCGACGGACATTCTAGCAGAAAAGAGGCTGAGGTGAGTAGCATCTCTTTCACATCAATCTGCCCTGTCTGCTTCCTGGAATCAGACTTCACCAGCGTACCCCACTCCCCCTTCGGATGTACGAATGTGACTAACCTCATCAAACGTTGAGGGAATAAAATTTCCTATGCTTTTGTGTTTGGTTGTCATCGTCTAGCAGAAGTGCTAATGCACAACTGTTCCTCACTTCGGTATGACTGCGACTCACATTAAATTGAGGCCGTGTTTCACACTTGTAGTTTCTTTACTTCGTACCTCATTCCAATGTGTGTCATGATCGGGATGACCATAGAGTTCATTCTACATTTTCGGAAATGAATGTCAACGGACGTACCGATTATGAGATTGCTACAAACAAGTGTATACAAACCAAAGGAGTATTGGTAGTTAGTTTTTGTAAATCAATCCGTACATGATTATGTTTTAGAGTCTTGTCAAATATGGTTGTCGTGAAGTAGTTTCGCCGTGAATCCAATCCAACCACCAGACAAATTTGCAAGGACTATTTTGACAAAGCTGCCAAATAGGACCTTTTAACCGGAATTTATTAGATGTTTATTCATCAGTTGAACAGTTACATAAAAATTGGCATGTGCCATAACTCACAGGATTTTCATAGATTATGTGGGCATACTGCTTTCCATTTGCCCTGATCTAAAAAGGAAACCTTGAGTTTCCACATGAGGCATTTGACTATGAAGTCTAGGAGGTAATTAATTAAATTACCATGTGAATAAGGCCAAGCGTCCGACGTGCCCCAATACATCTCGATGTCCAGGCAAATCGGTGATCAGTACCGGAACGAGGAGCTTATGGATGTATTTCGTACATTTTTTTAGTTGACTTGAAATGAACCTTTTCCTATTCCTTACGTGAAGTGTCGACGGTTCACCGATTCGGTTCTGACCCTGAATGTTGCCACTCTACCTCTTTACTTTGGTAGCAAAACACCAAATGAAGACGGTGAATAAAGCCTCTTCCTCAGGGGCTATTTGAGACGCTTGGTCGTGTGGGAACGTTGGGTGAAATGCGATCAAAGAGGGATCGGCCACGACTCTAAATAGTCACTGTCCATACTGACTTTTCCCGATGCAATCATAGCCGGGAAACTTAAAAATAACCTCGTGATGTTTAGATAGTCCAGAAATCCGCAAGCAAAACTCTCCTCTAGTAGCTTTGAGAATTTTCTAGCGGCGATGTTCATTTCAGTTGAGTTTGCATACAACAGGGAATGGCCATGTCCAGTCGAGCTTCCAGAGTTCTTTTGGCGATGCGCTTAGGTTCCGCACCCATCACTGTATTGCAAGTGGGTGGTCTTATGAAATTTCTAAAGAATAGGTGATACGGTGAACCGGTGTGCTTGATTCGCCTATAGTAGCATTCTGACTCCCACTGGCTTCTGTTACGTCTTCATGAACTGCAACGTTGTTCTCGCCACCTATCTACTTATCTTTCGAGTCCCTTGAGACAGTAGCGGGTTTACGGCCCATCAATGCTTTTCCCGGTCATCCTTCCTTGATAACGCCCCCGAAAGCCTCAATATGGTCGGAGGTGGGTGTATAGAGTTGTGGTGGGTCAGCCTTCCCTTGCCCCTCGCGAAATGCTCCCATACGACCAAGTGTCTCGAATAGACTCTGCCGAGGAAGTCCTCCTCACTGCCTTCTCGTTGCGAATGTGTTTTCCCACCAAAGTGAAGGGACGAATAGCCGATATCTGGGCCTATGATCGGGTTAGTGGACCACTGATAGTTCACCCAAGAGAGTTGACCAAAAAACCTGATTCCAAACCAACCACACACCTTCCCGGGTTTGGCAGTGATCACCGGTTCTATTGGGCATCAAGGTGTATTTGGCACCTTGGACGTTTGACCCCGTCCGAAGGGNATGGACGCACCGCCTGGCTGCCTTGTGAGTCAGGCTTTGGCTAGCTGAAGGCTCCGGTTGTGGATTCCTCAAGAAAATTCATCTCTCTTACCATACGAAACAAATGGACTTACTGGTATAACATTTAGTAACGACAATGATACTGAGGAGCGAGAACGTATATCCAAAGTGAAAACTGTAGCATGCACTATAGGAAATTGCGTCTCAGTTCTCCTGATAATCGTGCCCTTAAAACCAATAAATGAAAAAATTAGGCACAGCATTGAGAAAAGCTGTGGCGTCAGTGTATACGAGTTTCATTTTCTCGTGGGAAATGAAGAGAGGGAGAGTTGGATGTGAAGGATGTTATGCATCAGATAACATTGTGTCACATAGGCAGCACATGCTTTAAGGTATTGGTTGATACTGGAATTGACCAGCGCCACATAAGGGACGACACCGTATCTAAAGCTGATTTTCAAAGAGCGCCTGATTAATGTGAAATCCTTAGACAATAGATCGGGGAAGATGATGGGAGAGCAGTAGGTCCAATGACATAAAGTACCCGAGAAAATAAATTTTGAAATGACACCCCACCTTCAAATGTCGAAGACGTGTGATGTGAAACGTCAGGTTTCTGACATTACTAAATGCTTGTTGCACGTGGTCTGACCATTTGAGGTCAGCAAACAGAAAACATCCAAGGCATTTGAAATACTTTGATCTTTCAACGCTTTTGTTGTTAACCAAGATGTTGGGAGTAGATCATCCGGCAATTGTGGATTACCAACAAGGAATGGAAAACCAACCTTTGCATTTGGTTGGGTTTAACGAAAGGTTAACATCATCGGACCGTTCTGAAATGGAAATTATGGTTAATTGAAGGTGATTACTGGAAGATTTGTTAGATGCACCGGGAATCATTACGTCTTCAGCATACTTGAAAGTGAAAACACTTGGGGTGAGTGGCAAAATTTGAATGAAAACTACACCCTGGTTTACATTAACAGTGCAATACCCAGTGCCATTAAAATATATGAACTGGCATCAGTCAGTAAAATAGTCATGCATCCTACTTGATAGGTACGACAAGATTTTTCGCTGTAATAGGATGATTCCATCAACTAAGTTAAAAACGTTCGTCTAGTCCAGACAAATGTGATCAGTTGTTTCCGTTGATCACGGATAAAATGGAATGCGAGACAGGCAACCGAAAGCTAACAATGAGCGAACTGGTTGGAATCACAAAGATCAACAGAATAAGAAAGAGCCCTAATAATAGTTCACTCAGGACTTCTAAGCATTACCGAATATGAAGTAATTGATCGAAAATTCTCTTTTTCTTTTGTAGACACTGTATTAGTGCGAACACCACGCTATGTTTCTGCTATTTTACCCTCTGACAGACAATCATTAGAGATGAATAAAACCATTTATGCAATGTAGTGTTAAGACCGCTGGGGACAACCCGTCAGGACCGGGCGATTTATTGCTGTGGATAGTATGCTGCTCAAAATTGTTGTGGCAGTCGCAGGAGGATGGAGATCAAGTGCCATTGTACCTGATCCCGGTAATGCTTGCACAATATTTTACACCGCAGCAAAAGATCTGTTGAGCTCACTGGTGTCAGATGCAACAGTGATCGGTCGAGGTAAACGACCGCAGAGCTACTTCAGTCCGTTCCATGGCTGACGGTCGGAATTGTACCCTAGCACGATATCAACATACAATTGATTAAGGTGGGCTGTCCCGCTTCTGATATGAAAATTGACAGATTTTACAGTCATTTTATCCCTTGAGCCTAAGTAGGCCTTTCTTTTCGTCAGAAACGAACCGGTTTGGCTGTAGTTGAATCCCAATTTGAGGATAACAATCACCATAGCAAATGTCGAGTTAATTGGTGAGGTTTTCACAGAAGAGATAAAAAAATAGTTGCAAGTCCAAACAGTCAACCATGGACTCTGGTTCCATCGAGTGGAGCTAATCATGTTGTTGCATGCGTATCTTACGTGCACTGCTCTTCGCGAGGGTTTGTTAATTGCCTTTACCTTACGTCGTAGGTAAAAAGTTTATGTGAGGATCAGAATTCCCTACTAGTGAATGTCTGAAGACACGAACAAAGTTGTTTCATTTAAGAGAAGGTTTTGCAACGGGGCATAATTCCTAACGGGAAAACTATCAAAGAGACATGGGTGTATAAACACTCACATGCAATCTGTTGACATCAGCAACCATGAAAAAAAATGTGACAGTCTTATCCAACACAATTGGATAAGGTGTATCTAATATGGTGGATAACTCACCAGGATTACATTCAAGATAGATCTAAAGATTTGAAATGATGGTCGGTGAAGGGCACAGGAAGAAACATGGTTTACACTCCATGGTTATATAAGAAATGTTCTGTGAACATTGAGTGCATATACATTTGACGGAGATACAGTGCTGCTGGTGCAAATATGTGCAAACACTTGGTGGCATATCTGCACGAAACCTATAGAAGCCTTCAGTCTCAATCAATTCGTCACCGACCGATTAGGTAACCAAGATTCTTGGAAAAGTAACACGCAAATTTTAAAGTACTCCCCGTTGTGAATCAAAACACCGACAACTGAACGTAAATCATAAAATAAATAGGAAATAATAGGAAAAACAATCATGTCTATATACTGTCGTGCAGTTTTCCAGCCAACACGATGAAAATTATACTGAGCGTGTTGTAGTGAATCATCGAGGTCACAACAATTGATACGGAAATGAAATCCAGATTCAATCTGTGATGGAAAAAGCCAAAGTCGCAGCGGTAGCAAAGTAGCTGGTCAGATTCAAAGACCCCGCCGATTGATGCTGTCTCCTAAGGTCAAAAAAATTTGATCCCCATGACAACATCCCAGGATAGCCTCGAGGCGGTGATAATGGTTTTCTCGGCTATAGGGACAGCCGCTTGTGAGCTTCCGTGATCTATATATCAATCCTATTATCTGCACACTTCTGGATCTTTGGTTCATTTCCAAATGGACGCGTACTGTTTGCCGAGACTGAACTACATAACGCAAAGCTGACAGCCCTAGGCAATATTTTGGGTGGATTGCCCTGTAGTTTGTGCAAAGCGGTCCCATTTCATAATCCGGTGATGAATTGCTTAAAGGCAAATTTCTGTCTGAATTCCTTTTTATCTTCAGATGCGTACAGTCGCCTTGCGTAGATCATCGGCACCTTATAGACGATTGCCAGTTTCAGATGACAGCAGATACTCATATCTAGAGAAGCAGCATGCTTAACTTGTCTCATAAGCACTACAGTGAAGAACTTTCATTCAACCCTGATTGCAGCATCAGCTTATGTGTTTGGTCGGTTAAGCAATCCCGAATACACTCTGCAGCGAAGGTTGTGCACCTTCCATGATTTTCACATTATCCACGCTTCTGAGTGAGCCAAAGTATGATATATTCTGCTGTATCTCATCAGTTGCATATTGCAGATTATATAATATTCATGATCACAATCAGTGGATAAAAAATTACCGTTAATAAGTTCATAACTGTCGTGGTTTCTGCCCAGTCAACTAATAACTCCTTTTGCCCACACAAAATAGGCTTTGAATTGCATTTGCTTCAGCAAACTAGTACACGTGAATTGTTGGATAACATCATGGAGAACGCAGTAGTTCGAACGAACCGATGCTTCGTCGCGAGGAAATGGCGTGCATTGGAGGAGGCTGATGTCTGTCTGACCGGTGACAATTGGTGGACAAAAGTGTCCACCCACGGTGGGACATGTTCAGTCAATCTCAATCGAAGTTACCGTTCAGTTCAGCCTAGGTATTTGGTCGAGCCCCCACACGTGAACATGTAATGGATGGTAATGGCTGCTTGACTGTGGGGACAGTAGTTGTCAGCATGCTTGCAGTAAGGCAGGGTTGGTGGCATGGTATGACTGTTTGAT